GAGAGAACCAGAAGGGCCACTCGGGTCGGCGCCTTTGATGTTTGTGTTCCCGCGCATGTCACCTCGCGCATCTCGGCCGCCATCTTCCTAGCCAGTCGATTTCTTATAAACATTAAGGCGGTAGTAAGGCGAACAGCAAAGAACTACATATATCTCTCAGATACGTTCGTAAATTTTTAACTTGTCGCAAGTATGGAAAAATTTCAGGTATGTTCTCTTTTCTGCTTTCATTGAAACATTAGTTGACACGTTTTAAGCCCGTATTTTAAAATTTTATTTCGCGACTTTCAGGACCGCTCCTGAACCTGGCGTCGCATACTGCAACCCTACTATTTCATTTTTTTCTTTGGATTTGTGACATAACTATCAAATCAAGTTATATTTTTTATATATCTGACTTGTGGTAAAAATTGATTGAATCTGGGCTTGTACAGCGATTAACTAAGTTCAAAATCGTGCATCTCAAATCTTCAATTAAAACAGACCTTTCTCATATAAAAGCATTGTCTGGTTTGTTTCTTTTCCTTTGAACTCAGTCCCAGCAAACGAAAATTGTAATAGATTGTCGAAAAGTTCTGTTCTAATTTGTCAATGAGAGACTGTCCTCACTCCTTGCATTCTTTTGTGTGATATTTGCCATATTAGTCTTTCAGATTCAAAATAAAGGTCGATGCACAGATAACTGTGACCAGATAAATGACGAGAAAACTGGAAAACATTAAAAATGGGACAGATTTACAATTGTTTATTAATCTATAAATACAGATTGATTAATACTGCCATGTATTTAGTCTAAATACAGATGTATTATTATTATTAATACTGCCATACAATTTTAATAGTAGCCATGTTATAATTAATAAACAATTTTAAATCTGTCCTATTTTCAATGTTTTCTAGTTTTCTGGTCATTTATTTTATTTTAAAATGTCTTGAAATGTCTTTAGTATTACCCTCACTGAATGGTGGGAAATAACCGTACATTTATTAAACCATTAAGCACGGTCAGCACTTTCCCCCTGACGAGTAAAATTGTCTGGCGTTAGACTGAGTAAGATAACAAAGTAAGGTCACATTAGGGTGGGGCAGACAGGCCAGTTTACCCATTAAGCACCAGCGCTCTCTCCTTGACAAGTAAAATTGTCTGGCATTAGACAGAGTAAAACTAGAAAATACATGCATGCAGAAACCCTCGTCTTCCTGACAAAACCATTGTATTTTCCGAACATGAAGTATTTAAAGTAGTTGTCATGGTAACACGATAATTTTTTAACAATATTCTTACAAATGAGTAATCGCCTAAAAATATCACTTTTAATTACAAAATTATTAATTTCCCAACATATATATGTTAGGTATGTCATTATACGTAATATAAGCCTCAATTTAAGGTACAATTCAACCACAAACGCTTCGCAAAACGTTTTAAAGTCACTAGTGTTCTTTATAAAACTAAACTGCCTTTTAAAATGGCTTTATCGATATTTGAGTTTGCAATAAAATTATTTAAAATTCTCGCTTGCAAATAACTTTGCTTTCTTTTTTATTTAAAAAATTCAATATCATAAAAAAGGGAATCAATATTAAAGATACACTGAAATTATATGCTGTCTTGTTTAGTTGTTTCATATACGCAAAGGACGTCGGGTTTTAAAGTCATTATAAAATCAATATTTAAAACAAACTTACCTTCGTTAACGTCGGCTCCCTTCTTTTAGCCGATTCTTTCGCAGTTTCTTTCTAAGAGAGCTTTTGAAATTTACAAAATCTTGCAAAAATGCGAGCAAAAATGAAATATATTTGCAAGAAATTTATCAATCATCAAATCAAGAAATGTTTGCTATTTCGCTGTCGTCATGCAGTCGTTATAATGCAAACTTTAAATTGGACCAATCAGTGTCCGCTATTCGTGACAGTCCACCATATTTTTGAGATCAGTGAGGATGACCACCCACCCAACACCGTTGGTCACCCACCCCCGTGATAATTGATGAACTTTTGACTCTGCTAATGCTTTCGTTTCCCCGGGTGTAAATAGCCGGGGGGAATTAGTACCCTTGCACGGTGCTTTGTGCCGTCGGCTCGGGGATAATCTGGCGTTAGACAGAGTAAAATGATAAAGTAGGGCGCAAAGCGACTCAATGGTTTAAAAACAGGGTACATACTGTATTGTATCTTGAAGTTCCATCTACAGATGGGCGACTTTAATGTACTTTTTACTTTTTTTCTTCTTCTTGCTCTTCTTGGTAGATGAAAGATCTCGATTAGCAAACTTGATACTATAGTAAATCCTCATTCTCAGAAAGAGTTTGAGGAGATACTGAAATTGGAAATCTGGGCATTGGTTGAATGTGATAGGAACTCTTTGCAGTTGGAGAAGAATCTTCTTCCTTATGCCATCACTTTTTGTATATGTAGAGAAATCTCTAACAAAGATGTCTTCTAATTTGATGACATACTCAAGATATGGTGTTGTGGGTGCAAGGAAACCACCAAAGCTCTTGTGTCATTCGTAGGCTTTAAAGAAGCATAATAAGTTCCTGTTATCTTCAAGTTGGTCTGTGACCAAGGCTGATTCGCAAGTAGAACACTTGTGTTTTGGGAAACTTTTGCGGAGTAAGTATCCAGCAACATAAGCTATTGGATTATTTTTCAGTAAATTGTCACTAACCTCCTTCTCTTTGTAATCTGTTGTGTCGATATCATCACTTTGTTGGCTTGTAGATGCAGCAACCAAAACAGGAACGCTTGAGTCAGCCTTGGAAAATTGTGCAAGTAGGTTATCGAAATCATCATTACAATTTCCCCGCGATGAATTCAAAAATGAACTGAAAAACAGTTTCCTGAACGCACGTGTAAACTGGATGGGGGTTGGGTTGTCGCTATTACCACCCTGCTGGCGAATTGTACCAAAAAAGTTTTCTATTGGATCAGTATTTAACCTTCTTGTTAGAAGAAACTTAAACCCATGGTTTTGGTGAAGGTGATCCCAAATTAGACGAATGGCATTTATGGTAACTAACCATCCATTGAGGCACTTGATCCTGCCAGTAACTTCTTCATCTCCCTGAAAAATCTTTATACTCTTTATAAAACTGATAGCTTGTTCAAAAAAGCTTAGGTGTGGAGAGGTTTGGGTCAAGGCACATTTTAATGACTTTTGCGAGTGGATAGTTGAGACATTGACAGAATCAAATAAGGAGTCAAATTTTGAAATGCATTCTGCAGTCCCCATAGCTGAAGATGGTAGACCTCCAACACTCACATACATGCATATAGATGCAGTTACAGTGTGGCTTAAGATTTGGGTGGCATACTTAACTTTCATTTTTGCAAAATTGTTTGGCCGGATGTGTTTATCTGTTAATTTGGGTGCCGCTCTAATTGGCAACTCTTTATCTTTATTGTAGAAGACCACAATATCTTGCCACTTTGCTGTGTACTGCCCAAACTTAAAAGTGTATTTCATCAGATTGTTCCGAATGCATTTGATAAGATGTGGAGGATCGAACATCAGGTAATACTTTTTCTGATTATGCATGAACCATGGCCTTTCTGGAATAACTTTCAGGTGTTTAGCCAGGCTTTGAAAGTTGCTCCCCAAATCAGACATGACAACAACAACATTCAAACCAATTCTTTCTACTTTATCAATTGTATCTTTCATCAGCTCCTCCATTTCTTTCATAGGGCATCCTCCATTGACCAAGACATAACCAAGTGGCTGCTTCCACTTTCCAGATATGCTTCTTAGTAAAAAGACAAGTGCTGAATTTGCCACTTTGTTTGTTCTTGTGCCATTTCCGAGTCTTCAAGACCAATTATTTTGTCATTGGATATGTCATAGTACAGGTTGGTTTTAAGGGAAATTTCATCCATGCACAAAGTGCACATTTTTTCATCATCACTCATGTTTTCAACCTTTCTCTCTATGATGTTTAAGGCACCTTGTGAGATCTCTGTTGCTGCTGGCATTTTCGAGATGTATCTGCGAAGCGATGTTTTGGAAGGCAGAATGAATAATTTGGATAGCATCCGGTAGGCTTTTCCACTGGCATGGTACAAGGACACCGCAATTGACTTTATTTGAGGCGAGTATCTTCTTCCTTTCCTTTTCTTGCCATGCAATTTTATATGCATTCGCACAAAATGAGCCAAATTTTCTGGCAGTTTGCCTAGTGCTTCCTCCAAAGATTTTTCCTTCCTCCCCTTTTTTGATTGCCTTTTCTTTTCCACTTGCTTTCTCAAACAGTTGATTCTCCGTGACTGGGCTTTGATTATTCTATTTTTTTTATTTTTCCTAGGTGTATTACTGGACAACACTGCACTTGTTTGGCAAGTGAAATCTGCCATTTTGCTTCCTGGGCTTTCTGAACTTGGTGCACTTTCTTCAACATACTGACATGTTGGATCTGTATATTGGGGATCTAGATAATAAATTCAAAAGTGACACAGACTTGTTTTCGTGTTTTATGGGTGGTGAGATACTGATATTGATTGTGGTTCCAAAAATTAAGTAGTTCTGGTAAAAAAACTTGATTTATGTAAACTGTTAAATAGTTCTGCTCATATTGCATTTTACTGCCATTCTCAATTTATTCATAGTCCCCTACATACAAATCCTGTAAGATACAATTACCGTAATTTTAGTTTCTTCCTGAGGAAGGTCACAGACTGGTGACTTGAGTTGTTTGGTATTGGACAGAGTAAAATGACAAAGTAGGGTGCATTAGGGCACATGATGACTTAACAATGATTTGTCAGGACCGTACACAGCGTGGGGGCAGGGGGCAACTGCCCCCCTAGAGAAAACGATTTTTAGAATGTCATTATTTTAAAATTATTCTTTGGATATTTGGAACGGGCGGATTTACTGGGTTGCTCATTGGTGCCACTTGCACCACACTAAAACTTTTTCCACCCATCCTTTAAAAAAATGAAAATCTGCCCTTTATATTTGGGACTTTTTTCGGCATATAGGCCTTGCTGCGCCCCTGGTGAAAATATTCTGCGTACGGCCCTGTGACTTGGTGTCTTGAATGGTTATGTGTATTGGCCAAGAGTACTGGTTGACAATGTAATATTTTCCCAGATTTACTGTAAAATGGGCCATTCCATATAATATGTGCACTCCCCTTATTGAAAGGTCTGGACATCCAAAGGGGAAGAGGGGATCTTCATTTTAAATTTTCCTAATGGGTGAAATGACAAAATTAGGTGTTTTTAGTAATATCCAAGAGGGGAAAAGCGATATCCTAAAGACATTATTAAGATATCCTCTGGGGGATTCCAAATTTTTCATATCCTAAGGGGATTATGAAAGGACCATCAATAGAGGGGGGGGGGCTATGTTAAATGGAATGGCCCAATGCTTTTGGTATCAAGCCTTTTTAAAGTACCAGAGTTTGCCGAAGTATGCGCGTTTAAGCTATAATTTCGCAAGAAATACATATCTGAGATTCCTTTTAGCTATCAGTAATGTTTTTACGTACCTTGTTACTAATATTTTTGAAGTTACAATGCAAACCAGACAGCTTGAATTTTAGAAATCGAAGTTTTCCTGCCTCTACATCGCATTGTACCATATTGTTTTATATACGACTGGCTGCAATCGACTGGCTAGGAAGATGGCCGACCTCGAGCATGCGCATAAAAATTTGGTAACATGTTGCATCCCCGAGTGGTCCTTCTGGTCCCCTCCTTATTCTGTGCCCGAGCTGCATATTCAATTCCCTTTGTTTTAGGAGCCAATCATCTGGCAGTGTTCAAAAACGTTAGAGCCAATTGGAAGCCGCCTTATTGAGAGATTAGCTACTGGGGAAACCCCTTGCACACGCATTGGAATATATTGTCTGGGTTGAAACTTGAAATTTGTTTACTTGCGTGGATATATTTTGGAAACTATAGCGTTGAAA